TCACCAGGAAGCAGCTAGATCAGTCCTGGCCCATTTCCCTTCAGTTTTGAGAGGTTTTTCAAAGAATAGGAGGTACTGAAAATGAGCAGGGCTCCCTAAGAGGAATGGGTTCTCAGTTTCCCCTTTAAAAAAGAAATAAGAATTTCCCGAACTGAAAATTAATAAGCGCCAAACTAAAGGTAAAGTGTATTTTCTAAGGTTCTTGGAATACAAAGTCCATTTACATTTTTCTTAAATAATTATTTTATTTAACTTTACTTATTTATTTGACCAGAGGCAGACAGAGTGAGAGATAGAAAAACAGGGAAAGTGAGAGAGCAAGTTGCCAGGTCCAGGACTCTCACCGCAGTCAACCATGTGGGAGTCCAGTGCCCTTAACCACCATGCCATCTGCCTAAAGTCCATCTACATTGTAATGTCCCAGAGTAAGGGGTAGGATTTCAGACTTTGAAGCAATACTGGCCATGAATGAGGGACATTAGACCTCTAAAACTCTCACTTAAAGGAAAGATAAAGTTTTTTTTTTTTTTTGAGAAGTTTTTACTATAGGGCATGTGCATTCATGGGAGAGACAGAGACAGAGACAGAGAGACAGACAGAAAGTGAGAAATCCCCCCCCCCCCCCCCCCAGCGTGGCCATGCTGCAATCCCTTCTCCATTCTTGGGATTTGGGGCATGTACATGCACCCAGTGTGAGTTTTTTTCCCCCCTTTTTTTAAAAATAAAATTTAAATTTACTTATCTACATTAATTCACTGTACATCATTATGGTATACAAAATGAGACTTTCCATCCAGAATACATTATATATTGGCTCAATCAAGGATATTTACATGTTATCGTCAACAAATCATTTTCCATTTCTTGTTGCTTATATATTGTTTCTCCCCTCCCATTCCCTATCTATCACCTCTGTCATTTCCCACCCTTAGATACACTGTCTCTGATATCTGCACTTGCTTTCCATGCCCCTACCTTTTCACATTCGATTGATTCACTAAAGATCTCAATAAATCTAAATATATTCAATAGGAAGTGCAGCTGATATAGACATATCCATTTTAAGCCACTGGGTCCGGGACTCAGATGTTAGTTAACTATATGTGAGTCCAGCGACTTAACAATTACGCCACTTACTGGCCTCAAAAGAAAGGTAAGGTGTTTTTGTTGTTGTTTTGTTTTGTTTTGGAGAGTTTTTTTTTTTTTTTGGGGGGGGGGCCAAGGCCCATTGTCCTCTCTGTCCGCGAAATCAACCCCCAGGTGTGATTTGCCATGCCACAGTGCCTTCTCCATTCTCCTCTAGGGATCTTGGGCATGCATGCACCCGGTGTGAGTTTAAGCCACTGGGTCCTGTGGGAGTCCAACGACATAGCCATTACATCAGCTACTGGTCCCAAGAAAGGTAAGGTTTTAATTTCAATATGAAAGATGTTTTGTAGGATGGAAACTGCTGACTGTGAGCTCAAAGACTCCAGGCTGAATGGCTCCAGAAACCTGAACAGAAATTTGATTATCTAAGGCCTTGGCTATCAAGTATGCCCACGAGATGATCACGCCTCTTGAACCAATCATTGAACTAATCACATGCCTGGGACTTCTGCCCCTAATTTTGCTCTTAAAAATGCATGTAGGGGGAAACTTCGCCAAGTTCCTTCTCGCGTCCTGGGCGCCTTCTCGCGTCCTGGGCGCCTTAGGGCAGTGCCACACACCCGGCTCCTCCCCTTCCACGTCGCAGAGAGCTCAAGTGCGAAACAGCACGGAGGCAAAGGTGGGTTTCCGAGGGAGGTCTGCAGCTTTTGTCCACCTCAAGGGAGTCAGACCCTCGAAGGGTTAAAAGCTGCTTAATCCAGACAGATGAAATGGATTTGAAATCAATGTCAAGAATTGGTTAGTCTCATTATGGAGCGTGGCCAGACTCGAGCATCTGGATTGATCTATGCTCTTAAAAAAAACAGTCGACACCTTTTTCTCTAGCTGGGAGTGTCCACTCGCCTTCTACCAGCATGGCGACGTCCTCACAGTACTGCCAGCTGCTGAGAGACTATGGATCTGTCCCTAGGCTACACCCAGGGAACGGGGAGCAGCCAGGTGCCCCAGAACAAGTATGTAGAGCTGCGGGCCATCATCGAGGAGCTGGGTAAGGAGATCAGACCCACCTATGGGGGCACCAAGAGCGCCATGGAGAGGCTGAACGGAGGCATCATTCGCGCTATGGGGCTGGTTTGCAATACTTGGCAGAGACGGGAGCGGAATGCCAGGTCCTAGCCCTAGCCCGCTCCGGGACCTCCCACCTCTGCACTGGAGGAGAAGTTACAGGCCATGTCCCGGCTCAGAGGAAACACTCATTTTCAAAATGGTAGCAGTTTGGTTTTTCCTCCGCGGTTCTCTAGGCTCTGAAACTATGTCTCATAGGTTGAGAAAGGATTTTGCAGTTAGTTAGGGTTTTCATTTTAAGTAGTTAGGAACTACCCAAGGTTTTTCTTTTTTGAAGTGTTGATTTCAGATATGAACGCGAAGTTACCTTATAGCAAACTGAAGTTTGCCTCCAAGATACCAGCGTCTCCTTTTCATTTCCTTTCTTAAATGCATTATGTTACCCAAGTTAGCCTTTGCTTTTTTCCGAAGCTAACACTCCTCTAAGGGTTTTGTTTCTAAGGCACACTGACAGCACATAACCATCCATCTGGTGTAGACTCTGCCTACCCTAACTTCTTTTCTAAGTATTTGCGTGACTATTAGTGTGTTGAAGTCAACTTTAAAAATGCACAAGTTATAAATACAGAAGAAAGAGCAACCACCCAACCCAGCAGGGACCCCCGAACATTTTCATACTAAGACTGTGTGTAGATTTCAGTTTTGCATTTACTGTAAGTTCATCAAAACATCTGGAAGAAAATGACTTAAAACTGTTTGCATCTTTGTATGTACTTGATGTAATAACGCTTATTTTCATAGAAAAAAATGCATATGGGGAGGCCAGCAGGTGGCGCTGTGGTTAAAGGTGCTGGATTCCCATAGGCTGACAGCGGTTTGAGTCCTGGACCTGACCCTGGCTTTCTTACTTTTCCTCTCTCTGTCTCTGTCTGGTCAAATTGAAAAATATTAATAACAAATGGAATTAAATTAATTAATTAATTTAAAAAAGTATGTGGGGAATATCTTTTCAGCATGAGCTGCCTGCTCTCCTTGCTTTGTGCTTTGCAATAAAGCTGTACTTTCATCACACTATGTGCATACAGTTTGGTTTTGTAGTGTTTGAGCAAGCAAACCTGATTTGAGTTTGGTAACAATACTGAGAGGTCTAACTTCTCAGAGATAGATTAAAAAAAAAAAAAATTCCCCTGCGTATCAATCACACATACAGTCTCCCAGTGTGGCTTGATTGCTTTATAAAAGAAACTTCCTTGGGACCAGCAGATGGCATAATGGTTACGTTGCTGGACTCCCACATGGCTGATTGTGGTTCAAGTCCCCAACCCTGCAGCTTAAAACTCACTCTGGGTGTGTGTGCATGCTTGTGTGAATGCCCAAAATCCTGAGAGGAGAATGGAGGAGAAGGGATTGCAGTGTGGCCATCCCCTTCTCGCTTTATGTCTCTCTGTCTCTCCGGTGAGTGTATGCATCCTATAGCAAAACTCTCTCTTAAAAAAATAGCAATGTTAAGTATATAAATTTTGAGTCATAGAAACATAAAAGATTGTACAACATTTGCAGGTGAATGGTTATAAAAATAAGCTGGCTACTTTCGGCTTGCTATTTGAAATATTTAAGGCATCCTCAGGTATATGATCCATGTTTAGATCTGGGCCAGGGTTTGGGATTTACCTGACATATCTCTTTTTCAAGTATAATCTTGTTGCTAGGTATGCTATGGTTGAATAATATGCCCAGGGAGACTGTGAGGCCCAAGCTTCCCTCTAAGGGGAAGTGGATAAAATGAAGCAAGATGAAGGCAAGATGAAGCCTTCTGTTAATACAGTGCACAAGAGAATACTAATTGGACAGCAGAGGCAGCTGACCAAAGGGGGAGTGGATAAAATGAAGCAAGATGAAGCCTTCTGTTAATACAGTGCACAAGAGAATACTAATTGGACAGCAGAGGCAGCTGACCAAAGAACACCAAGTTCTCTGGTTTGAGAGAGAAAGAGGGCTTCAGAGAAGGGAGTGAGGATGATGCTATGGTTTGGATAATGGATTGTTCCCCAAAGTTTCACATTTTGGAATTTGATGTTGGGAGGGGATTGTGGAGGGTGCTCCTCTCTCTCATGTTTGTGCATATGCTCTATCATGAGTGAAGACAAAAAATGAAAAAAGAAAGGATCATATCTTGTTCATTGCTGTAGTCAGTGCTTACTACTGTGTCTGACTTTGAGTTGATTTTGTGTTAATGTTTTTGAGTGAAAATAATAATTGAGGGGCTGGCAGGAGGTGTGGTGGTTAAGGGTGCTGGACTTCCACATGGCCAATGGTGGTTTGAATCCCAGACCTGGCAGCTTAGTCTCTCACATTCCCTCTTTCTCACTCTGTACCTCTCTGGTCAAATTAAAATAAATAAACTTAAATAAAGTAAATTAAAAATGAAAGAAAATAATAATGAAGTTGAGTCTTAACAGATGAATGCTACTTCCAAAGCAGATGAAGCATAGGAAAAACTAATTGTACAGAGAAGTAATTGTGGGATTAAGAAGCCTGTACTATGTGGGGTACTGAAAGCTGCTTGTTCTAACTATTGAGTAGGTTGCAAGAGAGCATGATGAGAGAAAACTAATATTGAAGTTGGTCCCGAGCACTCAGGGACTTTTGTACCAAACTAAGGAGTTTGTATCGTACAGGCTTACCTTCTGCAAGCACTTTAGTGCAGGCCTTTGTCTTTGTGGGCCTATACCTATCTTTTTCCTCTACCTCTATTGTTACAAATCTTATTAGTTCAGCCTACATCCAGTGCAACATGCATAGTTAATACTTAACAGATTGGATTAAAGGAAAAAGGAAGGAACCTAATGAAAGCTGTTCTCTTTCTATTGAAGGAGAAGGACGTTTCCTCAGTATGTGGCTCTACCTGGCAGCCCTGGTGGGCCTGTACTACCTTCTGCGCTGGTACCGGGAGAGGCAGGTGGTGGGCCAACTGAGAGACAAGTACGTCTTCATCACGGGCTGTGACTCGGGCTTCGGGAACCTGCTGGCCAGACAGCTGGACATGCGAGGCCTGAGGGTGCTGGCTGCATGTCTGACAGAGAAGGGAGCTGAGCAGCTGAGGCGCCAGACCTCAGACAGGCTGGAGACAGTGACCCTGGATGTCACCAAGACAGAGAGCATCGTGGCCGCTGCCCAGTGGGTGAAGGAGCTTGTGGGGGACAGAGGTATGAAGCATTTTCTTCTTTTATTTACTTAGGCATGAAGCAATGCTTAAAAGGCTGGCTTTGTCCTTCGTGGGGTTTCATTTCCTTAGCAATGCTTATATTATATTGAAAAATGAGCTCAACAGATTTATTACCTTGAAAATTTTCACGCTTTTTAAAAAGAATTATTTAATTTTATATATTATCACCATTATTAAATTATTATTTTAAAATTTGCTATAGGGGAATCAGCAGATGGTGTAGCAGTTATGTTGCTGGACTCCCACATGACTGACTGTGATTCAATTCCTAGACCCAGTGGCTTGAAACTCATGCTGAGTATGTGTGTGTATGCTCAAAACCCCAAAAGAAGAATGAAGGAGAGATCCCGGAGTAGAATGGAGGAGAAGGGATTGTAGTGTGGTCATCCCCCTTGCCGGGGGTGGTGGAAAGAGGGGGGCGATTTCTCACTTTCCATCTCATTGTCTCTGTTTCTCTCTCTAGCAAGCATACATACCCTAAGGAAAAAACCGCTACCAAAAAAAAAAATTGCTATGGGACATGTGTGCTTATCAGAGAGAGACAGAGACTCACCAGGGAGAGAAAAAGGGAAAGTAAGTAAGCAAGTCACCAGGTTCAGGACTTGGACTTGAACTGTGGTCATCCATGTGAGGTGTTTTTTTTTTTTTTTTTTTTTCCGCTCCTATAGTGGTATTTTGGGCGGCAAATCTCATGAAGCATAGCTTGTTATGATTCTTTAGGTATGATTCTTCTCGCTTCTCCCCAGCACCAAATGCAATGTAGACAATTTTACTTTCAATCCTTTGGAAAGACTTTCTAGCTCAATCTTAAACTGATAATATTGTCATTTAGGACTCCTGTTTAATGAAGACAGTGTCTTGTATTAGGCTCTCTGCCTTAGATGGGCCCTGGATTTCATCTCTTGCCTTCTGTGATTTTGAGGCTATAAATACTGAAGTTCAAATTCACACTGGTTGGCAATTCCCTTCAAATCAAACACCAGCTCTCAATGTTCTATTCACTGTCTCTGAATTCCTGCTTTCCCCTTAGTTTTTGACCTTTTTCCCCCTTTTTGTAAACTGATAGATGCATTTAATATAAAAAACATATTTTCTCTAGCATTTTTAGTTGCTTCAGCAGAAAAATTGGGCAAGGCGAATAGTCTGTCATTTTTGTCTGAAACCAAACTCCTGATTTGACTTTCGTTGTTATAGGACTCTGGGGCCTGGTCAACAACGCAGGCATCTCTTACCCACTTTGCTGCAGTGAGTGGCAGAAGATTGACGACTCTGTGAATATCCTGAACGTGAATCTCATTGGTTTGGTGCAGGTGACCTTGAATATGCTTCCCCTGGTGAGGAAAGCCCAGGGGAGGATTGTCAATGTTGCCAGCATTTTAGGAAGAGTTGGTTTCTTTGGAGGACTCTACTCTAGCTCCAAGTATGGAGTAGAAGCTTTTTCGGATGTTCTGAGGTAACTCTCAAGTTAAAACAGAAACTATTGATCACTTAACTATGTCTTAAGCTTTGTGCTAGTTGCTTTCACCTATCTTATTATATTTCACCACTCTCAAAAATCCTAACCAGGGACCAGCAGTTAGCATAATGGCTATGTCGCTGGACTCCCACGTAGTCAACTGCGGTTCACGTCCTGGACCCGGTGGCTTAAAACTCACGCCAGGTGCGTGTGCGTGTGTTCCCAAGATCCTGAGAGGAGAATGGAGGAGAAGGGATTGCGGCCTGGCCATCCCCCCTGGGGGGTGATTTCTCGCTTTCTGTCTCTCTGTCTGTCTCTGTCTGGCAAGCACACGCGCCCTATAGCAAAAACTTCTCAAAAAAAAAAAAATCCTAATAGGTAGATATCATTATTAGCTTGTTTTATATAGGAAACTGAGACTCAGGCTTAAGTTTCTTTCTCAAGATTCATCTGCCACAGCCAGGATGGCCAAACTGTGGGGTTTTATTTGAGAGGTTTTCGCTATAGGGCACGTGCACTCGCCAGACAGAGAGAGACAGAGAGACAGAAAGAGAGAAATCACCCCCCAGGGGGGATGGTCACGCCGCAATCCCTTCTCCATTCTCCTCTTGGGATCTTGGGCACTCACGCATACACGCCCGCCGTGAGTTCTAAGCCACCGGGTCCGGGATGTGAACCGCGGTCGACTATGTGGGAATCCAGCGACATAGCCATTATGCTAACTGCTGGTTCCCACTAAACTGTGTTTTGACCACAGGGTTTTGTCTTCTACCAACATTCAGACTTTAATTCTCAGAATTTATCCTTGATAACATTTTATTACTGGAGAGAGTATAACTGTCCTCTGTCCTTCCTAAAGAGTATACGTACTTATCTTTTCCTGGTAACTCTCTTTTTCTCAGGTTGCTGATCTATTTCCCACTAACTTATTCCTTCCCTTTATTCTGTATATCTTTGTTGTTGTTGTTTGTTTAATAGCTATTTTCCTTCTTATAACTTTAGCTTGCCACATTTTTCCTGGCCTCTTGTGTGTGTGTGTGTGCTACAGGGTGTGTGCACTTGCCAGTAAGAACAGAGAGAGACAGAAAGAGAGGGAAAGTGAGAAATTGTCCCTTTTCCCCTTGGGGGACGGCCATGCTGCAATTCCTTCCCTTCTGTTCTCCTCTTGGAACTTTGGGGATACATACATATACACCTGGTATGTTTTTCAAACTGCTGGGTCTGGGACTTGAACCATGTCCCATGGTCATGTGAGATCCCATGCTCTTAGCCTCCATGCCACCTGCTGACCTGCTCCTGGCTTTTTTTATATATTATTTCAGCTTCATGTCCTTCTACCAGCCTGCTTCTTCCTCTTTTTTTTTTTTTTAATTTTTTTGGAGAGGTTTTTACTATAGGGCACATGCACTTGCTAGAACAACAGAGAGAGACAGAGAGATATTGCTATTTCAGTCCTAGGAAAGAATTCTATTGACTGAGTTAATTTTTTTGTGTGTCCCGGGGACCACATCATATATTCTTGCAAAATTATTATTGTATATCAGGTACTATTGTAGGTACTTTACATCTATTACATCACTTTTTTTCACTTAGCAATGAGGAAGGTTTTATTATTATTATTATTGTTGTTGTTGTTGTTATTGTTATTTTTCTTTTAGTTTGCTACAGGATGCATGCACTTGTTGGAGAGAGAAAGAGAGAGAGAGAGAGAAAGAGAGAGAGTGAGAAGTCATTCCCCAGGGGGATAGCGATAAAATTCCCTTCTCCTCTCAGGATTTTGGGCATGTAGGGAACCAGCAGTTAGCGTAATGGCTATGTCGCTGGACTCCCACGTAGTAGACAGCGGTTTGCGTCCCAGACCTGGTGGCTTCAAACTCATGCTGGGCGCGTGTGCGTGTGTGCCCAAGATCCTGAGAGGAGAATGGAGGAGAAGGGATTGCGGTGTGACCATCCCCCCGGGGGGTGATTTCTCGCTTTCTGTCTCTATGTCTCTCTCTGTCTGCCGAGCGCACGTGCCGTATAGCGAAAAACCTCTCCAAAAAAAAAAAAAAAAACGATTTTGGGCCACGTTAGTAATTAGCATCTTGTAATTTTTATGCCATCAGGTCTGGGACTCGACTATGAGGTTGGCCATGTGGGATCCAGCTGTCTTAACCTCTATGTCATGTACTAGCACCAGAAGAAGGTATTATTTTTATAATTGTACATATGAGGAAATTCAGGCACAGAGGTTTAGTAATTTGCCCATTATCATAATAGGCAGAACCACCTTCCAGCCCTAATAGGGTCTCTCCTCTCATCAGGTGCCCTCGCTGGTCCATTTAGCTGTGGCAGTGAGAGCGTGGTCATATGGTACAACATACGCTGTTCAGGCTCCCCTTTAGCAGGGGTTGACCTTGGGCAATTTCACTTGGAAGTGAGCTGTGAATATTACAAGCACCAGATAGCTTCCTATGGTTAGTGTTATAAATTAACATAAGTAGTGTATGGTATGTGCTGTCTTTTATTTTTTAAGATTTATTTATTTAATTCCATTTATTATTATTATTATTATTTTATGTTCCAAATGTAATGGGTTTATTTTATTTTACTCTGATGCAAAACCAAAGTTTCCAGAAAGACAGAGAGAGACAGAGAGACAGAAAGTGAGAAATCCCACCCCCCCAAGGGTGGATGGCCACGCCGTAATTCCTTCTCCTCCATTCTCCTCTTGGGATCTTGGGCATGTACTCACATGAGCCCAGTGTGAGTTTAAACCACCAGGTCTGGGACTCAAACCACAGTCGACTACATGGGAGTCTAGCGACATAGCTATTATGTCAACTGCTGGTCCCCTATTATTATTATTTTTAATTTGACCAGAGTGAGACAGAGAGAAAGGGAACGTGAGAAAGCAAGCTGCCAGGTCCAGAACTCGAATTGCTTTTAGCTATGTGGGAGTCCAGTGCCTCAACCACTACACCACCTAGCAGCCCTCATGATTTGTCATTGTCATGCTAACATCTGATAATGGTCTTTGGTAGTCTATGAACACTCTGTAATTTCCCACAGGCACCTGACTTTTACATGGCATCTCACTATCTGGTATGCTACTCCTCCCATTCTTTTCTTGGGACTATCCTCTTTCTGCCACTAGGTTCAACCTCAAGGAAGCCCTCCCATGCTCTTGCAGAAAATCTACCTGTAGGTAACTTGACGTTTCTCTCTTGCCTTTTCTTCTAGCTTTGTTTTCTGGTTTTAAGGATTTTTGTCCTGTCTTGAGCTGTCGATAGGTTCATGTACCTACTATTTGAACAGAATCCTAACCTGTTTCCTGGCTTTAGTTTTAAGCAAAGTTCCTTAGCATTTATTTGATTTATTAAAGCCAAAACTGCTTTTCTCGAAATTAAAAGAATTATTAAAAAAAAAGAGACAATCTACCTGCATTTTTTTCTCTACTTCCATATCCTCTTGAATACCTTCATAATTCTTTTGAGTTGCATTGTGATTTTTTTGCTTACTTTTGGACTTACTCACTATGACCTCTGAAGTGAGAAATTGAATCTTAATCTTCTGAGACTGTGCACCTAAAAACATTTAGCTTGGGACCAGCAGATGGCATAATGATTACATCACTGGGCTCTCACGTAGTCGACTGTGGTTTGAGTCCTGGACCCTGTGGCTTAGAAACTCATGCTGTGTGCATGTGCCCCAGATTCTGAGAGGAGAATGGAGGACAAGAGATTGTAGCATGACCATCCCCTCTGGGGGGGGGGTGATTTCTTGCTTTCTGTCTCTTTGTCTCTCTGGCAAGCACATGCAAAAATCTCTCTAAAACAACAACAAAAAACACTTAGCTTATCATAATAAATGCTGATTTTCTTTATTATTATTTGTATTCCTTATGTCTCCCATGTGTAGCACACAGTAGGTACTTAATAAAGCTGTTAAAAGAGTGGTTATATCATTGAGTAGTTATGGTAGTTGATGTAATCCTTCCTCATTTTGTTATCCTTTAAAATAGTCAGTAAGAGGGACCAGCAGTTAGTGTAATGGCTGTGTCACTGGACTCCCATGTAGTTGACCACAGTTCAAGTCCTGGACCTGGTGGCTTAAACTCACGCCGGGCGCGTGTGCGTGCCCAAGATCCCAAGAAGAGAACGGAGGAGAAGGGATTGCAGTGTGGCCATCCCCCCTGGAGGGCGATTTCTCACTTTCTGTCTCTCTGTCTGTCTCTGTCTGGCAAGCACACGCGCCCTATAGCAAAAACCTCTCCAAAAAAAAAAAAAAAAAAAAAAAAAATTCAGTAAGTGGGACTTTACAGTCTTTTTTTGTTTTGTTTTCCTCTCTGAGAGCATTGAAATGGTGTTATTAACTTGAGTTTTGTTTCAGGCGTGAGCTTCATCATTTTAGGGTGAAAGTCAGCATAATTGAACCTGGCTACTTCAAAACAGGAATGACAGACATTCAGACATGCTTAGACAGAGCGAAACAAGCCTGGGAAGAAGCTCCTGCACATGTTAAGGAGGCCTATGGACAGCAGTATTTTGATGCCTGTAAGTTTTTTCCATTTGCTAGGATAATGAGTACCCTTGCAGTGAGAAGGGGAAAAGAGGGTTGGTAGAAATGATGGGCAGATCCTCTGGCTGGCATGAGGGGTCTGCTTGACTGAAGTGCAGTCTTGAGTATTATCTACTCTTTTGAAAAACAAAAGGATTTTATTATTCCAGGAGGGGAAAGTAAAATGGGGAGAAGTAAGTGGGCAAGGACCAGGTTTGCAGGACTCTATTGGTGACTAGGCCTCTTGGGTGCAGGCCACAGAGCCTTATGGGAGTGAGCTCCTTCAATGTCATAAAAGAACATCATCCTGATGACCTGGAAGAAGAGGCAGCTGGTGTTGGAGACAAGGCAGTCTACTTAGTGAAAGTAAGCCGTACATGCTGGTGTGAGTTTAAGCCACCAGGTCTGGGACTTGAACTGTGGTCAACTACATGGGAGTCCAGTGACATAGCCATTATGACAACTGCTGGTCCCTCATGGTTTATTTTTAAAAGTTTGTTTATTTTGGGGGACCAGTAGGTGGTATGATGGTTAAGGCGCTGGACACTCCCACATGGCTGACAACAGTTCGAATCCCGGGCTTAGTGGCTTTATTTCTTAATTTCCCTCTCTCTCTCTGTGGTCAAATTAAAATAAATAAATAAAAATTAAATAGCTCTTTTCTGACTGGAACCATGGAGGGCATTCAAGGGAAGAAAAAGAAGGTTCCTGCTGCAGCAGAAACCAAGAAAAAGTCTCCTGCTGTAGTGGAAGCCACCAAGAAAAAGGTTCCTGCTGTGCCAGAAACTCTTAAGAAAAAGCGAAGGAATTTTGCGGAGCTGAAGATCAAACACCTGAGAAAAAAGTTTGCTCAAAAGATGCTTCAAAATGCAAGGAGGAAGTTTTTTTTCTTTTTTTGGAGAGGTTTTTGCTACAGGGCGTGTGCACTTGCCAGACAGACAGAGAGAGACATAGAGACAGAAAGCGAGAAATCACCCCCCAGGGGGGATGGTCATGCCACAATCCCTTCTCCTTCATTCTCCTCTCGGGATCTTGGGCACGCACGCACACGTGCCCGGCGTGAGTTCTAAGCCACCGGGTCCGGGACGCAAACTGTGGTCGACTGCGTGGGAGTCCAGCGACAGCCATTACGCTAACTGCTGGTTCCCGTGGAGGAAGTTTATCTGTGAAAAAGCTAAGTACTATCGTAAGGAGTATAGGTAGATGTACAGAACTGAGATTTGCATGGCCAGGATGGCAAGAAAAGCTGGCAATTTCTGTGTACCTACAGAATCCAAATTGGCGTTTGTCATCAGGATCAGATGTATCAATGGAGTGAGCCCAAAGCTTAGTAAAGTTTTGCAGCTTCTTTGCCTTTGCAAGATCTTCAATGGCTCCTTTGTTAATCTCAATAAGGCCTCAATGAACATGCTGAGAATTGTGGAACCATGTATTGCATGGGGTTACCCGAACCTGAAGTCAGTAAAGGAACTGATCTACAAGGGTGGTTATGGCAAAATAAATAAGAAGTGAATTGCTTTGACAGATAACTCTTTGATTGCTTGATCTCTTGGTAAATTTGGCATCACCTGCATGGAGGATCTGATTCATGAAATCTATACTGTTAGAAAACGCTTCAAAGAAGCAAAAACTTCCTGTGGCCCTTCAAATTATCTTCTCCATGAGGTCGAATGAAGAAAAAGACCACCCATTTTATAGAAGGAGGTTTGCAACAGGGAAGACCAGATCAACAGACTTATTAGAAGGATGAAGTAAAGTATCCTCCATGATTATTTTTGTAATCTGGTCAGTAAATAGACAGTGGCTGTTTTCAGACTGCAATATACTGTTGTATTAGTAACTTTTTTGTTAGTTTGCCTCTGCCTTGCCTTAACTATATTGTGGCACATCTTCGTACTTGGTAAAATTAAGCCAAAACTTCTGCAAAACTAGCGTCCATTTTTTTTATTTTGTGAAAATCACTTAGGGACTGTTGAAAGGCTCTTTCTACACCAGAAAGGCCTAATGTTTCCCCCTTTGAATTTTGCTGAGTAAAAATGGGTTTATTCAAAGAAAACTTATTTCAAGGCATTCATGCATGATTTGTAGGTAAGGTAATAAAATAAAGGTCAGTTCACCAAAATAAATAAATAAATAAATAAATAATTCTTTATAAAAAAAGTTTATTTTTGAAAGTGAGAGTTTTTGTTTTATGTTTTGCTTTTTTTTATTTTAAAGTTTTTGCCATAGGGTGTGTGCACTTGCTAGAGAGAGAGACAGAGAGAGGGCAAGTGAGAAGTCATCCCCCAGGGAGGATGGCATTTCTACAATCTGCATACACACGTGCTGGCATAATTTTCAAGTTGCCAGATCTGGGACTCAAACCATTGTTGGCCATGTGAGAGTCTAGTACCTTAACCACTATGCCACATGCTGGCCTTGAGAGAAAGGTATTATTTTTTATTTTTTTAGGGAGATTTTTACTATAGGGTGCATGTGCTCACCGGAGAGACAGAGAGAACCAGAAAGTAAGAAATCACCTCATGGGGGGATGGCCATGTTGCAACTCCTTCTCCTCCATTTTCCTCTCAGGATCTTGGGTACACACGTACTCGCACCTAGCAAGTTTCAAGCCTCCTGGTCCAAGACTTGAACCATCATCTCCCATGTGGGAATCCAGTGACATAACCATTACGTCATCTGCTGGTACCTTGAAACTAATTTTAATAGTTCATCCCAAATACCAAAGTAACTACCACCTAAAATTTTATTATCAGCATAAAAGTTATTATTTTTTAAAGAAGTATTTATCCAATTTTACTTATTCATTCATTTATTTTTTAATTTGACCAGAGAGAGACAGAGAGAGAGAGAAAAGGAGGGAATGTGAAAAAGCAAGCCATCAGGTTTGGGACCCTAACCATGATGGTCAGCCATGTGGGAGTGTCCAGCACTTTAACCACCACACCTTTGCTAGTCCCTAAAAGTTATTATTTTTTAAAAGAATTATTTATTTATTTACTTAATTCCATTTGTTATTATTATTTTTAAAAATAATTATTTTTAAATTTTATTATCATTATTTTTATTTTATTGAAGTTGACCAGAGAGAGATAGCGAGAAAGTAGGAAAACAAGAAAGCAAGCTGCCAAGTCTGGGACTCGAATCATAGTCAGCCATGCAGGACTCCAGTTGCCATAACCACCATGCCACTGGCTGGCCCCCGTATGTGTGTATGTATTTATTTATTTGAGAGATTTTTGCTATATGGCATGTGTGCTTGCCAGAAAGACAGACAGAAAGCGAAAAATCCCCGTTGGGGGGTGGCTATGCCGCAATCCCTTCTCCTCCAGTCTCCTCTTGGGATTCTGGGCACGCACACACACATGCCCAGTGTGAGTTTAAGTCACGGGGTTTGGAACTCAAACTGCAGATGACTACATGGGAGTCCAGCAATGTAGCCATTATATCATCTGTCATCTGCTGGTCCCACATTATTTTTTAAATTGACTAAAGAGACAGAGAATGAGAAAGGGAAAGCAAGAAAGCAAGCTGCCAGATCTGGGACTCAAACTGTGATTGGCCATGTGGGAATCCAGTAATGTAATGACCCCATAAAAGTTATTAATGGGCTGGCAGGTGGCGTGGTAGTTAAGGTGCTGGATTTGCACGTGGCTGATTGCAGTTTGAGTCCCAGACTTGGTGGCTTGTGTTCTCTCTCTCTGTCTCTGTCTCTCTCTCTCTGGTCAAGTTAAAGAAGAAGAATAAATAATAAGGTATTTTACACCTCTGGTAACCATCTGGCTTTCCCCCAGCAGTATTTGAAAATTGATGTGCATTTTACACTTACAACACATCTCAACTTGGGTGTGAAATTTTTCTGTGAAAAAGTTTTCTGGGAAATATTGTATCTGTATTATTTAGATCTAATAAAATTTACAGTTGTTAGCATCACTATTCATAATAGCCTCAAAGTAGAAACAAGTCAAATGTCCATCAGCTGATGAACAGATAAACAAAATGTTGTATAGGCATACTGTGGAATAATATTTGGTAATAAAAAGGGATGAAATACTGACATATGCTGCACATATGGGTGAACCTTGAAAACATTTTGCTCAGTGTAAGTAACCTTTCATGAAAGACCACAATGAGTGATTCCATTTATGTGAAATGTCCAGAAAAGGCAGTCTATAGAGACAGAAAGTAGATTAGTGGTTGCCTCAGGCAGGATGGATTGGTGAGAAATGGGAGTCACTGCTGGTGGTTACATGGTTTATTTTTAGATGATGAATGTGTCCTGACCTTAAGTTGTGATAATTACACAACTCTGACCTTACTGAAAATAATTGATTTCTATACTTTATTTATTTATTTACTCATTTATTCTTGGAGAGGTTTTTGCTATAGGCGCGTACGCTCGCCAGAAAGAGAGAGTCAAGAGAGACAGAGAGACGGAAAGTGAGAAATCACCCCCCAGGGGGGATGGCCATGCTGCAATCCCTTCTCCTCCATTCTCCTCTCGGGATCTTGGGCACGCACGCACATGTGCCCGGCATGAGTTTAAGCCACCGGGTTTAGGACTTGTACCATGGTCGACTACATGGGAGTCCAGTAACATAGCCATTATGCTAACTGCTGGTCCCTATACTTTATTTTATTTTTGAAAACATTTTCTGGACAGCACGTATGTCAGAGGAAGAAAGAGGGAGAGGGAGATAGCACCCCCAGTGGGGCATAGTTACTCCACAGTACCTTCTCCATTTCTCCTTCCTTTAGGATTTGGGGCATGTGCCCACACATACCTGGCATGTTTTGCAAGCCACTGGGTCTAGGATTTGAACCATATAGTTAGTCATGTGAAATCCAGTTTCCTTAACCAGTAGGCCATAGAGCCAGCCCAGTTTGTGCACTTTAAATGGCTGAATTTTATTATATTTAAATTATATCTCAAGTAAGATGCTAAAAAATTTCCAAGTAGATTCAGGGACTGGGTGGTGGTACAGAGGTGAATCACAGTATTCTGTGTGGCTGACTCAAACCCAGAGTTTGCACCTGCAGACCTCCCTGAGTATGCTGGGCATGCACATACCATGATCTGGGCTGGCCAAGGCTGGGGATGGATTGTGGCATTAGGACACTGTTAAGGATTCCTTCCCTCCCTCTCTCTTTTGTTACTTATGGAAGAAAGAAAGAAATAAACTTTATAAAAAAAAGAAAAAGTAGATTCACATTTTATATTTTAGACAGGGGCTAGCAGGTGGTGTGGTGGTTAGAGTGCTGAACTCCCACATGGCTGATTGTGGTTTGAGTTCTGGATTTCATGACTTGCTTTCTCACTTTCCCTTTCTCTCTCTCTATGGTCAAACTGAAAAATAACAATAATGGATGAAATTAAATGAATAATTTTTTAAAAAATGTGTTCCAAACATACTTTAAAAGTTTTTCAGTAACAGAATTGAGTGTTAAAATTAAAATTAAAGTAAAAATTTAGTTTTTCAGTCACACTAGCTATATATTTTTAAAGTATTTATCTATCTAATTCCATTTGTTATTGTCATTTTTTAATTTGACCAAAGAGAGAGAGAGAGAGGGAAAGGGAAGGTAAGCCACCAGGTCCAGGACTCAAACCACAGTTAGCATGTGGGAATCCAGTGTCTTTAACCACCACACCACCTGCTGGCCCTAATAATAGTTATATTTTAAGTGCTCAGAAGCTGCAGTTAGGGGCCTAGAGAAACAACACGTTTAACTTTAGGGGCCGGTAGGTGGTCTGGGCACGCACACACACATGCCCAGTGTGAGTTTAAGTCACGGGGTTTGGAACTCAAACTGCAGATGACTACATGGGAGTCCAGCAATGTAGCCATTATATCATCTGTCATCTGCTGGTCCCACATTATTTTTTAAATTGACTAAAGAGACAGAGAATGAGAAAGGGAAAGCAAGAAAGCAAGCTGCCAGATCTGGGACTCAAACTGTGATTGGCCATGTGGGAATCCAGTAATGTAATGACCCCATAAAAGTTATTAATGGGCTGGCAGGTGGCGTGGTAGTTAAGGTGCTGGATTTGCACGTGGCTGATTGCAGTTTGAGTCCCAGACTTGGTGGCTTGTGTTCTCTCTCTCTGTCTCTGTCTCTCTCTCTCTGGTCAAGTTAAAGAAGCAGAATAAATAATAAGGTAT